GTCGAAGAATACACTGCGATTGTAATCCTTTTTTTGGTTTTCATATTTTAGCATGTGCATGAATGACTGTCACTGATTTTGAACATTATTAAGCATGAATGAAATTATTATTGAACAGAATTTGTTTATTGAGAAATTCTTTTTGGAGTGAAATTATGAAAGTTTCACCGATTTTAGGAAGAAGAAAGATTGGCAAAACAACGAAATGATTTGGGTGAGGAGGGTCTATCGAAATGTGAAGAAATCCTACAAGAGGCTATCGATAAGAATACGGTATAGTAATTTTTTCAGAATTTTCAATTCATTTGTTCATTTCATGAAATGGAAGTTGAGTTTCACATTACGTATTTACCAGTAGTTGTCTTTTAAAATTAACTGATTGAGTTTAGAATGACTGATGGATTTTTTAAAGTTTTTAATATTGATGAAGGGAGGTGAATAAGATTGAGGATGAATAAATTCAGGCGTTGAAACCGTCAGCAGAGGTGTTGGATGAGCTGATCGTTGATGAACTGGAGAAGTTCAACACATTCGACATATCGACGAAATGTAATCAAAAACGACCGTTCAGCGATATTCCTCTCATTCAAAAACTTCCCTTCACGGCTTATATTCATCGTTCACCCACTAAATTCGTCGAGGTTGAACTTGTTTCGTCGTACAACAATTCATTCATTCATTCGTCGTTTTATGCGCATTGCTCTAATCTTTGAGTTGACACCGAAAGATCCTTAAGTTCGGTCGTAATTATTTGTGGAATTTGATGCAATATTTACAAACTGAATTGTTATAGAATCAGAAAATTGCGTTTATTTAATAGGGCATTTCTACTCAACGGTATTTCCTCATGAGCGATATTCATAAGTATAGTTTAATGAATAATATTCACAGTAACCGTAATGATGGTTTAGCTTTCACTGATTTGGGATACGGACAAGATAGCTGAATCGAAACGGATGTGGCTAATGTTATGGTTTGAGCTGATGTTCGAAAGTCCTGCACGAGTCGGTGATAAGGTCTGCAATAGATTCGTTTCATTCCAATGGCTTGTTGAATGCATTTATTCATATTGTCAACTTCTAGTTGGAATACTCACGTCTTTGCATAATGACAGAATAGTTCAACTAATGTAATTATGTGGATTAATTAACACTTTGTTTCGATAGGTCGTCGAAATGATGAGATCGCATGGCAGCAGCACACATAAACCTTCAACAATGCAAACATCTCAGATATTCAAAATCCAGAAGTATTAATCACTTGATATTGCAGGTTCTATCCTATGAAGAAGTATCAAAATTGTTCACCAAAGATCTCATCAAACAATCCATTCAAATCGGAGTTTCATGTTACTATAATCGATTTGTTACGCTTAAAATGAAGGTAAGTATGAGTGCATTGGAAATCATAAATAAATTCAAGTAAAGTAATCATCCAAAGGATCGACCCAACGTCAACTTCCTTGAGAGGACTTGAACTTAGAATTGCGATAGAATATGATTGAATACATGTTCAAGGTGTCATCGGACAAGTATCTGATGTTAGAGAAATGGGCAAAAATCTTTATGGATGGCCTGATGTTTGATAGTAGTCGAATAGCTGTATCAGCCACTAAACTGGCCGCCAATGCGGTCGAAGTGAAACGTGACGGGTCGAGTGTTTGTGCGACTTTGCTGGCGTCAACCCTCTACAAATCAAGTATGAACGACATTTCATTCCTTGAGTATTTCATTTTGTATAGAGTTGTATTCATTCACATTTCAGTTGTTTTTCGAACATTTCTGATTGTTTAATTGTGTTCACTTCAGAGAGTAATGCGCATATTTACGGCACCATTCAACTGGAGAAATTCCACGAAGAAATAGCGAAGAAAGCGATGAGCGATCCCGATTGGGTGAGTTCTTTTTCAGTCCTTCAATCAACTGGCTGTTTATTTTATAATATTTTATACTTGTTTATTTTATAATTTTATAATTGTAGACGTGAGCTGATTTTTTATATTATTTTATAATTGCGACTTCATTGAAATGTATGATAGTAAATAATGGAAAATGGATTGTTAAAACGAATATGTTGAAGTGCAAAATTGAATTTAGGTAGTGAAACAGCTGGAAGAATTACGCACACTGATGCTGTCGGTACCAGTGAATATGCATTTGGTTTGTAATGACTCGTTGATCGATAGAACTGCGATTGATTGCGAGCAGTGGTCATTCTTAAATGGAAAGTGTGGTGATCATCGAAAGGAATTGTTCATCGTTAGTTTTATTCATAGATTCGTTTGTTTGGTGTTAACTTTGGGATGGTTTATTACGATCATT